GTTCTTAGTAACCTATACATGGAATTTTTTGAAACAAGGTTGCTTAACCCCAATCCTCCCTAATAGAGCTAAATGGTTCAGATAGTTGATGATATTTTGTCTATATATAATATATATATATTTTATATAATATATAATAATATATAATATATATATATATATATATATATATATATGAAGTCCATGGGTAACACAACCACATTTAAGACAAAACTTGCAGAATGTTCCCCTAAGTTTAAGTGATAGAATGCTCCTCATAGCTTACATGCTTCAATATTAATCGTAGCTTTAGTGATAGAATGCTTCTCGTTGCATAAGTTGCAGAATGGTTTACCTGGTTCGATTCCTGGGGAAGGGGGCGAATCGTGCAGGAAAATCCTCTAACATCTGGTAACCTGTTCCCATAGTAACTAAATGCCTAGGAGACAGTCGGCTGCTCTGGGATGACCTTCAAACGAACACCAGTAAAAATAAGCCTCACTTGAGTGTGGCTTATTTATGAGATATTAATCTTCAGATGTTTTTAATGTGGAGAAAAGCTTCTACATTTAGGAGCACTGATAGATATTGTACATTTCTGGTGTTTTAAAGTACAGATGTACATTATAATTATTATAATCAAAAAGAAGCGCTAAGCCACAAGGACTATACAGCGTACAGATGTACAATGAAATGGGGATAAAAACAGATCTAAATTAATGCCTGGATAACAAAAATAATATTTGTGATTTTGTCTTTGAAGAGCTGATTTATTGTGTTCTCAATATCCATTATGTGCAAGGGAAGCGCAAGAGTATATGGATACACAAAATCCCTAGGAACTAGATCCCAAAAGCGTTAACAAGAATTCATCAGAATAAATATTTACAACTTACATTAAGTCTGCTTCAAGCAGCTTAGGGTGTTTGCTTAATATGTATGTTATCTAATTTTCTTTAATAATAAACCGTGACATGCCACAAAGGTTATTTATTTATATAATCTTCAGTAAGCAGACACTCAAGCACAGACTGGAGAAATATTTTTTTGATGTTAATAAACATCCAAAAAATATTTTTGTGGCTCATTTGCCACAATAGTCGAGATGTTCTCTATATTGCAGTAGAACAAGCGACAGACTGTGGCATAAGCTCTCGCTTTACACAGCGAGGGTCCGGGTTCGATACCAGGCAAAAGGGTGGAAACATTAGACGTGTTTCCTTACACCGGTTGTCTATGTTCACCCATCAGTAAAATGGTTATCTGGGTGTTAGTCGGCTGGTGTGGGTCGCATCCTGGGACAAAACTGACCTGATTTGCCCGAAGTGTTCGAATAAGCTGTTTCTATATTAGTAGTTTAGCACAGCTGTGCATAGCTCTTCCTTGTACATGTACTTGTAGTATAAAGATTATATTAGTAAATAGTTGATTAATATATTAGACTGTTTTATTAACAATCTGGTGTTCTCTTACATCCCATCAGTAAAAATTTATATCATGTTTATCGGCTGTGTGGGTCGATCCTACAATATATGATTCATACCGAATGACTGAATAACAGCTTAATTGTGATATTATAAGAGTTTGACTATTGCTGCAGAATTAGGCTGTTACCTTTGATATGAGCTTGTAAATTTATAATGATAATTAAATTATTAATAATATAATTATATTATAATCTCTAAATTCTTGAATTCGTTAAAGAGGATTCCAATCTACCATCCGCAAAGTCATGGATATACCATAACAGTACTTTAAGTAAATCAAAAGTTTTATAATGTTCTCTGTGGATGCTAGAATACCAGAACAATTTTAACTGGACATGATCGCTCTGTGTACAGCTAAAAACTGCAGAAATTATGGGCATGTTTGCTCTTTATCTGATATGAAGGCTGCGAACAATTTATGACCTGACATTTTCTCATTTAATTTAAGAGATAGTGAAACGTTCTATGATGTTAATCCTCTGAAGATTGCCTAGAATAGTGAAAAATATTCCTCGTTAATGCTAAGGATCCAGAACACAACGGGAATTTTGCTCAGACTAAAAGATAGGGCATCAGTACTGCAGTTTCCTCAATTAAAGAGATAGGCTGCAGAACAAGGTTTTACTGGGACATGTTTCGCTCTGTGTAGATGCAGCTTTATGTACTTACGACTTGATAAATCTTTCTAACACAACAACGCATTGTTGTAACATATGCTTGTTCAGCAACCTGTGTTTTCTTCAATACTCTCGATATTATGCTCTTCAGAGGCAGCCCTCCATAACTACACACACACACACACACACACACACACACACACACACACACACACACACACACACACACACACACACACACACACACACACATACGTACGTACGCGTATACGTATGTTCCAACGTACGTGCGTTGGTATATACATTCGTACGTTTGTACATACGACTGTATTACTGACATCTTACCTGTCACCAGCACCACTTTACCACCGAAAAGCGATGATGACATTCTGACAGATTGGCCTAGAAGATGCTTCTGTCGTGTCAGGTTGTAATCTGCCTCTCTTTAAATAAAGCTTTTATCTTTCGTTATCAGAAAGATTTCCGTATAACTAGAGATAAAATGCAAATCATCATAACCATGAAACACGATAAATTAATAAATTAAACAGGGATCACATTAATGCAAATGTGCTTATATACTATATGTATGTTGTTCACTACGTTTTCTAATTATTTTTACATGTTTAATTATAGGATGTTCAGCTCCTGTAGTAATATTATTAATTTTTTTTCATAGAGGTTACATACTATGTGATCAAGTGTGGTGGCTGAAAGCTGTGCGATACAAATTGGCTCATTAATAGTTGTCTGTAATTATTTAGCTGTCTAGTCCTTTAGACTTTTATATAGCTTTCATTTATTTTTTTTTAACTGTCTTATTTATATTAGTAAATTCGATAACAAGCGCTAAGCTCATAAGGGACATACAATGGTGGTGTTTTTAAAAGGTTAATCACCTGTATTAATATCTCACAATTGGGCCGACTTCTGGGCAATGCTCTACTAAAGGTTTCTAATAACTAATAATATGTAGGTCAACAAACGCTTCCTAATACAGAAATGTGAGATTCATCCTAGCCAGAAACACTTCATCCCATAGATTCTCCAGATTATTATCTAACAAGTCGGGTCTTGGGTTGAAAGCGAAGTCATTTCTCATAACCACGTAAAGTGCACCATTTCCTAGTCAATTTCTTTTCGAAAGTTAGGTGTTGTACGTTTCAGTTTTGACTGACGTTAGTCACAGCGTCATTTACCCAAGAAAATATTAGTGAAAATAATATTGCCGATACTGTATGGAGTTCCACAAGGATGTATCTTGGTCGCTCACTGCTCTTCTTGTGCTATATGAATTTCATGCTCATTAATGCAAGATCTTGTTGCATACAGATGACAGTGCTCACTGGGTGTCAGGTAGTCAGGAATATACGCTAAAATACTCTCACTGGAATTGTGGTCGTGGTGTCAGTGGTTAATTTATAAATTGTCGCTGATTTTGAATAAAACTGTGGCAATACTGTTTACCTGAAAAGCAAATTTAAGTGGATAAATAATTGGAAGGTATAGCGTGATGAGGGATCCATCTCAACACCAAGATAAAGTGTCGTGGAATATGCCATGATTCTTGCATGTCAAGTGAACTAATAGTCAACATGTAACTAAAAAAATGCGTATATGAGGTTAAAGTTACTAAGGCACATTGCCTACCAGCTCAAACACGCAAGACCCTATGACAGGCAGTTGCATATTGCCATATAAACTACCCCATTTCAACGTGGTACTCTAACCTAAACCTGAAAAAATGCAAAATCCTTGTAAAAAAAAAAAAAACTAAAACTAAATCATGTATTCAAAATTTCTAACTACGAATGTCCAGATTATTTTGCTTCAATTTAGGTAGAAGCTAAAGTCAAATCGCTTCCATTTCACGGAAATTTAATATGAATCCATTAAAGACTAGAGCTAAGGAATATGTCATAAATAAAACCGAAGAAAAAGAGGAAATTGATTTCCTGTATCACTAACGTATGTCTTGTATCTTTATAACATTATTAAAAACAACAGTTATTTTATTAGCATAAGTATTATTACTATTAATATTAATATCAGTATTAGTATTATTAATAGTAGTATTATTAATAGTAGTATTGTATAGTGACTTCGTTATCCGCATAACACCTGACGACTGGGGAGCAATTAGGACTGATACGAAGGGAATCTTCACGTATGAGTCTCCTTGAAATCAGGATATTACAAATAATTTTGGTTAAATAGAAAAGTACATCAAAATTGAAGAAAAGGTAAAAGAAATGATAGCTTTTTTTATTAATCATCTTATAAATTACCTTGTTTTTCAATTACTTTATTTTTCAGCTGATTTGTTTATAATTTTTTTATCAATACCTAATTTATCAATTATATTGTTTATAAAATTACATTGCTAATCGGTTACCTTGCTTAGAAAATACTTTTCTCAATTACTTTTCAATTACCTTTGTTTTCAATTACCTTTCTTTTCAATTACCTTACTCTTCAGTTACATTAGTTTTCAATTACTTTATTTCTCAATTATCTTATTCAATTGCTAGTTTAAAAATTATTCAGTTAAATAGCTTAAAAATTATCTTTGCCAGTTGCCTTTTTTATCAATTACCAGGTTCATAAATGACCTTTTATTGCTAGTTGCCTTTTTTATCAATTACCAGGTTCATAAATGACCTTTTATTGCTAGTTGCCTTTTTTTATCAGTTACCTTATATCTCAATTAGCCTCCTTATTTGTCGTAAATGGCAATAAATGGCAGGTCAAAGGAGTAATTGAAAATATGACTCGACATTTCCCCCATGACGCTTTGCTTCTTTGTCTAAAAACATAAAGAAAATATTGCGTGTCACCCAGATTGTCGATAGTTTTATGAAAGCTGTGATAAATATACACGAATTGGTCTACCACGGTCAGCGTTTAATTTGCAACGACAATTAAATTTCACGATAGTGCTGAACTTACTCAATCTTAAAGCAACTTAATCCTAACGTTTATAAGGTTTGCTTAATGTAGTTAGGTTAACGTATCAATAATGCAATATATAAGTATCAGTAATGTGCTGATTCTCACTGGGGTATTGCAAAAAAAAAAGTATAATGAGGTTGACTTGGTTGAGAAAAAAACTCGCTGCCATCCAGGCCAAGAATCTATATATGGTTAGGTCATTTGAATTGTGAAGTTTGTGCTGTTCTGGCAAAACAGCTGTTGAATGAAGGATGATGAATGTTTTTCTTCTTTTAAATCACCTTAACTGCCGATGTGGGTAAAGCAAATATTTACTTACATTTCAGGTGCTTAGATTGGGTTGTGAAGTTAATTTTGGGGAAAAAAAATAAAAGACAGCATTTAGTTACCCGAGTTTGTCTATCAAAGCATCAGTTAAAATATTCGAAAACTCTTAATTCTAACGCTTATAGTTATTTGACAACTCTAATTAAAATGAATGACCATGTTCGACCGGAATTAATAGTTACCCTTCCTGCAGGGATTATTAAAGCTATGAACTCTCCACGAACTTATTCGTGTGTTACCGAATGTGTAATCCAGAGATACACTGCTACAACCCACGTAAGAAGATACGGTATAAATAAAGTAACTAATTCGAAACTGATAAAGTACACTCTTCTATTTTTTGTTTTGCATCATTAGAACGTATAATATGCACTGCTTATATGCACCGAGAGGTATATATAATAGTAATAATAATTGCATGTGCATCGTATACAGACCTGGATGTCATCAATGACAATGCTGTATAGAAATCCTTTTGTTACGCAGAGCATTTCGGGCAAATTAAGTTAATTTTATCCCCAGGTGTGACCCACACCAGTCGGCTAACACCCAGATACCTATTTACTGACAGGTGAACAGGGACAGCAGGGACACACCCTAACTTTTCTACCCTTACCGAACCACGGACCTCGGTGTGTGAGCCGAGTGCTCTCGCAACGGAGCTATGTATGTACTGTGAACCCTGTTCTTAGAATTAATGCTATTTTAGTGGTTCATGTGCAGGTGAAACGTTGCCTTAATTGCATCCAAGCCGCCACTAGCCTTTCAACCTAATCAAACTAGCCATCCACACAAAAATACATATTACAAATCACACTGAAACGCTATAAACTCTTGCAAAATGTTCACAAGGTCTCTGAGGATCGCTGAATCATGAAGGATGACGGTATATCTTAGAGAACAAGACTTATATGTACCTAACCTAGTAACTGGTCATATTATCTGCTGGCCAAGAGTGTGAGAGTTCCTGACTCTACACTGGTTCACCCTGTGGCTTATTGTGCTGACGAGATTTGGCTTTGTTTGTGTGGCCACGACATTATACTGTTGTGAACAATATTTTGCGCTGCCACTGCTGTACCCCCATTACTACTACTACATAACTGTTACTACCATCACTACGATTACTTCTACAACCACCATATTACTCTTATTACATTATTACTGTTACTATTACTACATTATTACTGTTAATATTACTATTACATCATTACTGTTACAATTACTACCACTGATACAAATGAGGATAATTTCAGTAATAAGGATTTCATAATCATTTGATGAAAAATATGAACCAAGTTTACCTGGAGACCTGGAGTTACCTGATGAATATGGAGTCAAGGTTTTGTGTGGGGGTGTGTGGTGTGTGTGTGTGTGTGTGTACACACCTAGTTGTACTCGTCTAGTTGTGGTTGCAGGGGTGGAGTCATAGCTCCTGGCCCCGCCTCTTCACTGGTCGCTACTGGGTCACTCTCCCTGAACCGTGAGCTTTATCATACCTCTGCTTAAAGTGTGTGTTCGTGTGTGTGTGTGTGTGTGTGTGTGTGTGTGTGTGTGTGTGTGTGTGTGTGTGTGTGTGTGTGTAATCCCCTCGTTGTGTGCATATGTGCATGTATTTCCCTTGTTGCGTTTACTAGGTTCGAGACTCAGATTAGCTTTCTTGACTTCGATGGGCATCACTGATTTCTGGCCTTTTTGGTCTTATCGTATCTACTCTTAAAGCTGCGTATTGAGTTTACTTCCACTATTGACATTTCCACTTTTCATCCACTCTGAGACTAGTGAAATACTTCCTTGTATCCGTATGGTTCATTAGTGACTTTAGTTTGTCTCTATTTGATTGTGATCTTCTTAATTCACTCTTCTAGCTACCTATCATATTTTTTAAGATTTTATACGTCGTAATCATGTTTCCCCATGTTCTTCTCTCCACGAAGGTCATCATTTCCCCGAAATTTAAAGTGCTGCTTATATGGGGGGTTCGAAATGTTGTAAAGTGCAGTACCAGAAGGTAAAGAGAGAAGACTGTTTTTGTTCCCCAGGTGTTATCCTCCCTTGGGGTCTTCCTGTCCAGGAATGACAATATGTGAATGGTGTAATTGAGTGGGGTTGGTGTGGGAGGGGGATGGTTGGGTATG